TTTAGTCATAATTTTCATTCATTTCTGGAGCAAAAAAAATTTAAAAAATTCCACTGACAAGCAACATTTTTGGTTTGGAAATTTTCAGCTTTTCAGTGGCAATGAAAAGGTTATTTGTGTACAAATAACTTCCTGTTAATCTTGATATTTTATTAAAATTCTATGCTTTTAGCTGTATTTTCTTAACAAAATTTTTTGAAATTGTATGCGCAAATAATAAGTTTTACGTCTGTTTGCATTTAACTCTGCTCGAAAACGTTGGAAAACTTTAAAGATAACGGTATTTGTACTAAATCCTCAACTGTATAAGCTACCACTCTAACAAATATTTTTGGCTAAATGTAGTTTTTTGTTGAAAAATTGTACAAATATTTACTAAAATTATATTTGGTTTAAGTTTAGCGAATACGTCAAACCTAGAAAGCTGTTTAAATACAACTGGTACAGTTGAGCTTAATTGAAATAAAATTTAAAATTTTTAATCTTTAATTTTAATTTCTACGCTCCAACACCTTTATGAACAAAAATTCTTGAAGAAAAGGTAGTAGACATGTAAAGAGGAGCAAACTATAACCCTTACAACAAAAACCCATATTTCCTGCAGCAATAACTTAATTTCCGAGATTTTATTTCATTTCGAGTTGGCCGAATTTTTTTTTCCTTTTAAATATATTTTCTCATTCATTTTATTTTCTATTTTTTCCACTTTTACGAGCGTGAAATGCCGAACGCATGCAATGGCAATATAATAAACAACAAATAAATTTTTTTATGTCGCATTGCTTTGTGACCGACATCATGCCAACCGTGCAACAGCGTTCAGTAGCCGCAAGCATTAAAAGCAGCTCACGAGTTCAACTTTGCTGCTCAAGTACTTACTTTAAGTTAGTTTACCTGCGACGTACGCGAAATGTTCTGGTTCTACTCGTAGAGACTGCCAACACTCGCATGTCAGTTAAATAAAAAAGAAATGAAAAAAAAATAAAACAAAATAAAATAAAATAAAATAAATCAAATTAAATTTGTTTTAAAAAAATTATAAATGAAACAGAATAAAATCAAATAAAATAATATAAAATAAATTATAAAAAAAATTAATGTAATTATAATTAAAAAATAAAGTAAAATAAAATAAAATAAAATAAATTAATATAAAATAAAATAAAATAAAATAAAATAAAATAAAATAAAATAAAATAAAATAAAATAAAATAAAATAAAATAAAATAAAATAAAATAAAATAAAATAAAATAAATTAAATAAAATAAATTAAATAAAATAAAATAAAATAAAATAAAATAAAATAAAATAAAATAAAATAAATTAAATAAAATCAAATAAAACAAACATTGAAAAATCAAAACAAAAAGAAATTAAACAAAAGTAAATAAATTAAAATACTATTAAATAAATTAAATAAAACGAAAAAAAAAATTAAAATATTGTAAACAAATATACATAAAGAAATAAAGTTAACAAAAATAAAATCAAAGAAAATAAAATACAATAATCTAGAATAAAATTAAATTAAAGTAAAACAGGAAAATTAAATAATAAATTAAAAAATTAACTTAAATATAGCACAAGAAAATAAATTAATATAGTATAAATTATAATCAAATCAAATTACATAAAATAAAACAAAATAAATTAATTTAAAAAGAAGAAAAAAAAATCAAAACTGAAATACGATAAAATAACATAAATCAAAAACCTTTAAAAAAATAATATCAATCAAAATAATATAAAATTTTTAGATATTAAATTAAATTAATGAAAGAAAAATAAATAAAACAAAATTAAATAAAATAAATTATCATAAAATAAAACAAAGTAAAATAAAATGACAAGAAAAAATAAATTAAAGCAAAATTTAAAACTAGTTTATATCAAATAAAATTATATAAATCAATTAAATTAAAAAATTTGAAGCAAATAGTTGCAAAAAAAACTAAACAAAGTAAAAAAATAACTAAAAAAATAAAATATATATAAAATATTTCTTCAAAGAAAATAAAGCAAGTTATATAGATAAATTAAATAATATTAAAACAAATTAAAGTTGAACAATTTCTAATCAAGCTAAATTAAGAGCATTTAACAAGACAAAGTAAAAAACCATTGAAAGAACCAACGACTTATCCTAATGCATAGAAGTGCGTGCTTTGCATGGGTAATTTACGAAATTACCAATAAACAACAGGAAAAAATACAAATGGTTCTAAAAAAATAAATAAATAAATTGCAAAATAAAAAATAAAAAAAAAACATAAATATTTTACGCACATTTCCAGCGAACTCGCATTTTTGGCTAAATGAACAGCAAAGCAAGCAAGCAGACCGAAAGTAAAACAAAAACAACAACATAAAAGCAAGAACAATGAAAAAATTGGTTATTTGTTTATGCCAATTGCATACAGAGAGCTAATTTCAGCGTCAGCGAATGAATACTTACAAATACGTAATTGTAAATTCATACAAACAAATATAATATACACATATGTATGTATGTATGTTTCGTACTATGGCAGGCATGAATGCGTAGCGCATGAATTGGAGAATTTCAAATGCCGGCAAATATTTTTTTAACATTTTTTTTTACTTTTTTTTACTTTTTTTTTTACTTTTTTTTAATATATGAATTGTTTTAAGTTGTTTTACACCCTTTGTATGTAAACAAAAAGGAGCACGTACATACATACCATACATGTGTATATATATGTATACATATCAAGCACAAGATCATTGACTCTTATTTTGCAGTGAAACAAATAATCTGTGTTTCTACATGCATATTTACATACCTTTAGTCAGCATTGTAGGAGTATGTAAAATACGAAAATGCCACTGGCATAATGAAAAATATTTTTCAATGAGAACATTATACACACATGTTCGTATATTTATATGTACAGATAATACAAATAAACTTTTAACCACTTGTCAAATTTTCACGTTATCAACTCTCCTTGCCGACTTTGGTAGGCGGCGGCATTTTAAATCAGAATAAATCCTTTTTGACTCACAGGTTTTAACTTAAATTTTAGTTATATAAAAAACAGGCCTACAAAAGAAAAATAAAAGATAGAAGTGACAGTTTTTCGATTTTCAATTATCTATAATGAATAATTAAGCTCATATTAGATTGAGTGAGGATAAGTAAATTTATGTTGGGTTAGGTTAGGTTAGGTTGAGTTATTTAAGGTTAAGATCTGTCTTGAAATTCACCCCACAGCGATGCTCAATGCAAAAATATAAAAAAAGAGTTCTTCAATTTTTAATGCAATCAATTAACAAATAGGAAACGAAATTCTTACTTCCACACCATTGGGTGGCCTAATAAAACAATATAAAAATTTGTATTTCTCTCTCAGATAACCTGTTCTCTAGTTCACAGCTGCAATCGCGGATAAATAAATACTAGAGTATGATATATACATACTCGTATGTACTCCACCTAACTCCTAACACAATTACGCTCCCAGCACATTTGTAAGCGTATCCAACTCCGTATCGCCAATGTCGAGAACTTTCACCAGATTACAATTAAATTAATCTAGTTTTCGATTAGCTATGCCAAAGCAACAGAAGCACAGCCGGAAAGTATAAGTTTTACACTTATGGAGCGGCCGGAACGGTGGAAGGTGCGCAAGAGGTGCTCATAAATAATCCAAACAGATGGTTGACCGGTTTACAAGAAGACACCAAAACAATAAAAAATTAACAAATCATAGCTCGAGGAGGGCAGCGTGAAGAGTTATGCAGTGGAGAAAGAGCGAAGAAAGGAAATGGAAAAATAACAAACTGAAGTAAATTATCGAGTACACAGAAGACATGAAGCGACTTTCGCAGTTGCTTAACGAGTTTTATTTAATTATAATTTACAGTTTTTTTATACTACAAATTTTTTAACTGTACCAATAGGAGAGACAAAAAAAATAGAATTAAGAAAAAAAATTTAAAAAAATAACTAAAAACTAATGAAATAAAATGAAACAAAATCATATAGAATAATACAAAAAAAAAAAAAATAAAATAAAATAAAATAAAATAAAATAAAAATAAAATAAAATTAAATAAAATAAAGTAAAATAAAATAACGAGATAAAATAAAATAAATATTAATTAAAAAATAAAATAGTATCATGTAAAATAAACCAAACAAATTTCATTAAGTAAAATAAAATAAAATAAATAAGAAAGCAAAAAATGCGCAATTAAAAAAGTAGAATAAATTAAAAAAAATAATAATAAAATCAACAAAATATAATAAAATAAAATAATATAAAACTGAACAAAGGAAGTAAAGTTAAATAAAGCTAAAATTATATAAGTAAAATTAAATAAAACATAATTAAGTAAAATAATTCAAAATAACAGATTAAATTAACTGAAAAAGATAAGAAAATAAAATAAATTGAAGCAAAATTAAATAAAATAATATATATGGCAATAAAATAGAATAAAAAAGGAAAATAATGCTAAATAAAAGAGAATTAAATTATTGTAAATTATACCAAGTAAAGAGCAAATGTATTAAATAAAATTCTTTTATTTCCTGAAAGAAATATATAATAATAAAAAAACAAAATTTGGGAAAATATAAATAAAAAAAATGTTAGTAATTTAAACTAAAATAGAAAAATAAAATGAAATGATTAATACAAAAAAAAAAAATAAAAATTGAAAAAACCAACTAAATAAAATAAAACAAAATGAAATAAAAATAAAAAATAAATAAAAAATTAGAAAAAAAATTGAATTAAAATTACAATAAACTGAATTAAAATATATATAACAATAAAATGCGCAAATAAAATTAAAAATAAAAAAATTATATTATAATTTCATTTAAATTATACTTTTTAAAAATTTACAGCGCTCATTGTTTTATTTTAAAAAGTTAATATAATTTTACTGTTTTATTATTTCAGATAAAAGGTTCAAAGAAAGAATAAAAAAAATATATTTATTAAGTCATAGCAATTAATTAACTTACCGTTAATGGCTCTGCGTTTCACCTTGGCATTTCGAAAATGAAATCACTTTTAGTTGTTCAAAAAAAACACAAGAAATTAAATCGATACTCGTCAGCGCAGCGTCAAAAGAAAGTGAAACTTATTAACTGGTTTCTTACTATTTTTGTGTTTTCTGATTTTTATTACTTTAAATCTTCTATCACTTTTTTTACTTTTTAATCATATTTCTCCTCTCTTTTTTTGGCAAAATCCGGTATGTTAATGAGTCGCTGATGTCGTGCTTTGTCGTATTTTTTGTCTTCTTATGACAGGTTTCTCCTCTCTTTATTAGCGTGTAACTAGTTTTGCACAGCATTTGATGTGTTGCATATACATATGTAATTATGTATTATTTTACCACTTTGTGCTTTTTTTCTTCAATTTTTGTATGATCACGATTTTCATTAGTCTCTTGATCTTAGCAATTTTCAGTTTGCATTGCTTTTTGATCTCTGGAAAATTTTCTGTGGAAAATATTTTTTTCTTATTTTTTTGAACTTCTACGTCGTTTTTATTTTTTTATAAAAATAATTTTGTTTATAAAAATAATTTGATTTTTTCGGGTATCAGTTTGATGGTTGAAACTGCAATGAAAAATATGAAGAGAAAATGGATTAATTTTCAAATTTTATTTTCAAAAAGAATATTATGGTTTAAATAATAAGCAGCTGACAGCTGATTTGAAGGAAATTTTTTAACAAAGTTCTATGCTTGAGAGCTTTCAGTTTTTAGTTGAGCTTTCACCCTTAACTGAAGCTTTCACTAAAAAATATTTACAATTTTTTTTGCTTAAACTTCATTGATTTATATAAAAAAAGGATTTAGAATTTCTTGAGCTTTCACTTTGCTAGCACGCTTTCACATAAAATAACATAAATTTTGCTTTATGAACATTTTTGGTCCAACAGTATTATGAGACAAGAATAGGGACCCAATGCTTTAAAATGTCTATCGGTTGAGGTCTGTTTTTATAACTTCCAGCTTGTTTTAGAGTTCAGAAGATCCTTGGAAGCTTTCATGACAACCATACAAAGCTTGAAGATTTACAAAATAATTTATTGTATGCGGGAAAAATGTTTTGAATTAGCTTTAATTTTTCTGCAGCATATCTTGCCATTTTGAAATCATTTATTTTTTTTTTTGGTGGCCTTAAAAAAATTTCCAAATAATTATTTAATTATAATATCCGCATTACCAGCATAATTCATTGAAAATAAATACCACTTAATTTACATGTAAATCTTCCCTCATAATCTCTACATCCAGTCTCACGATTTCCGAAAAAAAAAAAATTTTTCTCACATTTAATAATAGTTAGCTACAACAACACTTATTCACGCCTACACATTTTCCAGTATTTACAAGTATTATTTTTTAATCTCACTGACAATCATTAAATGTTTTCTGTGCCTCCTCCTCCTCCTCCTCCTCTTGCCTTAAAATGTCGGTTCATTTTATTCAAAAGAAGGCAAGGAAAAAAATGCCATAACAAAAAACAGAAATCCGCCTTTTCTTCAAAATACTCAAAACATTACAGAGCTTATCAATTCGATGAAGAAAAGTGGAAGCAAACATTAACACAAGAAAAGAGAAGCAAAGCAAAAAAAAAATTAATAACGAAAAACAAATTACACAACAAAGCAAAAAGTAGCCGAGAAAGGCAGGCGTTTGAATGAAAAAAAAAAAATTTTTTTTCTTCATCGGAAGTGCTTATTTGTAGCTAAAAGAAGTGAATGACTGCAAATCTTCAAACATTCAATTGTGCTTCCGAACTTTTTTGCCTCAATACGCCTCCTTTACTTTACATTTGGGCTTTCGTTAAGCTTTAATATCCAGCTTAGGGAGTGCAATGTAGTTAGTAGCTTTAGCAGTGTTTATTATATCCAGCGCGGTACATATGTAAATGTAGGTGGTTTTGGTCAGATAAAACTACTTTGGAGCTTTCGTTTCGTTTTTAAGCTTTTTTTTTTTTTTGGAAAAAAAATCAAAATAATATGACCAAGTAACCATATAAAAATGAGTAAAAGCTCACTTTTACAATGCAAACAAAAAATACAGTTTTTAACCATACGCTCAAGCTTTTGCTAAGCGCAGTTAAGCTTTTGCTAAAATTCATTAAGAAGTTGAATTTCTACTTTTCAGCTGCCCTGAAATTAGTATCTGAAGGTGTTACTAGCTTTTATAAAATTCAGAAATGTTTTTTTTTTTTGTTATTGAAAGCAGTTAAGCTTTACAACAAAAGGTTTTGATGTGCTTTGCTAATTTCAAGTTTTATTTATTAACATTTATTTTGAACCGATTTGTTAATAATTTGACGATTTCAAAGGATTTTTTGAAAATATTAGCTTTTAGTGTTAGGCTTTAGTTTTTATTTTATTTATGAGCTTTCACACCTAGCTTTGAGATTTGACGAAAAGATTTTATTTTAATTTACTAGCCTGTGTAATAAAACTATGCTATGAGTATTTTAAAAGCTTACAATCTGCTGCAAAGCTTTCATACGAGCTTTGAGCTTTTACTATGAATATTCAAGTTTAGTAGCTATTAAATATTTTCTGATATCAATTGGTGTGCAGTAATAAATTTTTTTTGCTAAAACTTTTACTGTTATTATAAAGCTTTCATTTTTTCCTTCTGAGCTTTCACCAAAAAAAATTAAATTGAAATGTAGTGCATATTGTAGGTCGCTATTGACCGAAAAAAATATGTTATAGTTAAAGACTTGGTGGGAGCAACTGCTGAAACTTTTACAGCCACTGTTGCTATTACGGATTTACAGCTTTTTGTTTTCATTATCTACAGGATACTAGTGATTTTCTTACTATTTTTTGAGTTTTTCTAATTTTTTTGTTTCTTTCTTTTTTCTAGATTAACTATGCTGCCTTATCATTTTCTACCATCTTCAAGTGTTTTTACATTTTCGGCAGCAGCCATTGTTTTGCTGGATTACTTGCGTCAAAGATTCTTAAGTAAAATTCATCATTGTTGTTGTTGCTCATAACTACGTTACATACAAATCTTTCGGCATAGTTGTAGGAATGCATTGTTCGCTATGGGTAGGCACTACCGCTGCTTCTGCTGCTTCTGCTGCTGCTTCTTTCTTTTATTCATGTCTTTTACTTTTCTTTTTTTTTGGTTTTTTTTTTTGGGTTCTATCCACCAGTATACAGCCACCGAAAACTTTTACTGTTGTCTTTTGGAGAGGCTGTGAATTGTTTGCTCTTATGTAGTACTAGCTTTAACAGTGTTGCTTTTTATTGTCGTATTGTTGTTGTATATATGTACATACATTTTATTATAGTTGATTTTGTAGGCGCTATTCTTAATGCTATCACACACAGTTCGTGCCTTTTGGTTCTTTATTTTCCACCTACTTTTCGTAGGTTACTACAATATCTTCCCGCGTATTTACACAGCCCCCTCCCCTCTTGGCACACACAGTTCACCCACAACTTTCATGGCTGATATCCAACAAGTATTGCAATGACTTATCTGCAGTTTATGCCCGCACATTCCGGCTGTAGCATTGTAAGTAAATATATATGGAGGCTAGTGGAAAATTATATGCGGGCACTACTTATAGTACATCCATATAGTCGTGGATATGTATGTATAGTATATACACTGTTGCTCGTAAGTATGTCGCTCAACATGTTGTACTTCAGGTCATGCTGTAGTCTCAGTTACTTTTCAACTTTGGTTTGCCACCACTGCCCTTGTCCCTCGGCCGTATCGAAATCATGGTGGAAAAAAATCCGCAGAAGAAAGAAAGAAAAAAAAAAGAATGCATTGAAACAATTGTCTAGAGATAAGCAGCATTTTGCGCCAAAAAGGGGGGGGGGAATGGGAAAAGTGCTACCCTACTGCGAGCTATAACTTTTTTGGCTCCTCGAAAAGAATTTACTGTATTTCTATGGCCTTACCATTCAAGTATGTTGAAGTTGCTTTGCTTATTGGTTGAATTTCGTAGTTTTTTTTGATCCTGTGATGAGTTCAGCTGAGTCCACTTTGGGGTAAGAAATTGATTTTGCAAAGAGTTTTCGCTGTCCATACACATTGTGAAAGAGAAACTATGTGAATTGAAGGGTTATGTCATACGCTGAGAGCTTCCCAATGAAATTGTGTGTCTTTATGCTTATTATAGTCCTCCCGAGGCGTAGTAGCCTAACTTCTATCGAAAAATCCTTTTTCTATAGTATTGAAACCCCCGACTTTATATCGTTAGGCTTGAAAAGAAGTTGTGTATCTCGAGGAACCTATCGCAGTCGATCTTTATCTTTCGAAGACCACTTTAGAGTCTACCAGCTATCATGAAGCCCCTCGATTGATAGTCCACACTCATTGGAGACTTTTCTAGATTGTTGACCAGAAAAAAGCTTTGAAACGGGCAACCATCGAAGTAGTCTAACTTGAGAAGCCACTCAATCACTCGGGATACAGTTGAGAGTCTAAACTCTCTAGTAAAGTCGTACTTTTCACAAAATGGAGCCCCCGACTTATTGAAAGGAAAGTCTCTCTCCTTACTCACTGGTAAAAGCTTCAAGTTTCCAATTAAATTAAGTTTTTGAGGCATGATAATTATAGATCAATAGTCCTCAGCCTATTAACGAGTTCGTTTGTCTTAAGTAGTCTATGATAGACGAAGTTTACTTTTGGAGGAGTTTTGAAGCGGTTATTATTAATGATAATTCTCTTTTTCGTCCATCCGCACGTAACCCTAGATTTCTTGAGCAGCAATATTCCTCTTTATGCGCGATGTTAGAGGGGAAAGAAAATAATGTCTGAAACCTGCATTCTGTTGTCTCTCGAAGTACTATTTCTGCGACAGAGAGGTACAGTTTACTGAAAGCTCTTTTTTAATGAATTAAAATCCAAAAAGGAGTTAGCTTCCCTTCAGATTATTCTTCTGAAATCTATTAATTGCAAAAAAAAAACGTCTCAAATTAAGACCATTCATAAAAAAACGCACAAAGTAAAATATATATATATATATATATGTACATACATACGTATGTTTACATATCACGCATAAATTGAAAAATGTACCATCTGCCAATTTGTTTATGGGAATCAGTTTACGACCACGCATAAAAGTTCAGACAGGTACATTCTTACTCTGATACTTCTATGTAAAGCAGAAAAAAATACTACTTAACGCCTTCTTTCTTTTCCAGCAGAGTTTTTTCATTTAATTTCATTTATCCTGTTTCTGTATACGCCTTCTTGTATCTGGTAGCTGGAATTGTTGCCGATTTCTCTTTAATTACTTTTGTAGGAAGTAAATAATTGAAATTAATTTTTTTCTACATTACTTTGATTTGCTTTATTTTATTTTTTTTAATTTAATTTATTTAATTTCATTTAATTTAACTTAATTTAATTTAATTTAATTTTATTTTATTTTATTTTATTTTTTTTTATTTTATTTAATTTTATTCGATTTTATTTTATTTTATTTTATTTTATTTTATTTTATTTTATTNAAGTTTTATTTTTTTTTTATTTTATTTAACATCAAATCATTTAAATTATTTTATTTTGTTTCGATTTTATATATTAGTTTTTTATTTTTATTTTATTTTTT